TGTGTGTGTGTTTGTGTGTGCGTGTGTTTGTGTGTGCGCGTCTGTCCCGGTATTTCAACTCGGCAACCAAGCAAGCCCCAGCGCTAAAATTTTGCTAGTGGGTTCCTGACCAAGTGCTACCCCAAAACCAGCCTTTACGCACGTCTGGGCAATGCATACAAACACGCCGAAGTTTTGGCGGGAAAACCGCTAACTCGGGAACCAGGTATGCTGAAAGGTCAAAATCTTAAAAGGATGTTCCCGACCTACGTACAACTTAAAGATTTCAAATTCAGCCCTCAGGTTTGCGTGTTTTTCACGTACGGCCTGGTGAAGAGTTTTAGCTGGAAAATCGTTAAATCGAGAACCAGAAAAGTTGGAAGGTCGAAATTTTAGCGGAATGTTCCCTGTCCAAGTAACATGTAGTTGCACAATTAACTTCCTGAACTTCGAGCACCAATATGTCACAAATTCTAGCTAATGGGATTTCGAGCGATCTTACTACAGTACGAAACACTGCAAAAAAACATGATCGCACGGGCCCGCCTGTAGCGTGTCGTCAATGATTAGCGTGTCAGCGTGTCAATTCAAAGCTTGTCCCTGACCTCCACAGTTCATAGATCCTCCATAGCAATTCAGAGACTTACAGATCTTTGCAGTTCTCAAGCTATTATGCTTCAGTTCCAAAACTGACCTCTCGAGAGCACCATGTACCATTTACCACTCCCTAAACATGCATCCTACCAACTGCCGGGTGGACATATGGCAAATATCCTCCTTTAGCTTACTCTTAAGGCCGCTGGCTTTACCACTTCGCTTGTTGTACACATCAAAAATTCAAAAGCAAGCAAGTCGCCAGCCTCGTTTGCAAGACGTACAAAAGAGATATTATACGCACAAAACGATTTCTATTCATGAAAACAACTAACTCTGAATTTTCGACATCATGTCATTGAGTGTTCCTGGACTTGGAAGTGCTAAATCCTCGCCATCTTCGTCACACTCTTCTTTTAATACTCCGGATAAGTACAACTCGGCAGGTTTGGGGACTTCCCTTCTGTAGGAAATCTGGATGATCGTGGAATCAGTTGAAATCACTGCACCTATTTCCGGATGAACAGTAACTTCATTATGGCAACTCTTTGTACTCATGCCACTTTGCGTATTCTCCGGATTGCAACTGTTGCAGCTGGCGTGATGTTTGTCCTGGCTTAATGACTCTTTTCCATTCCAGTCATTGATGCTAGATGTAGGAACGGCTTCCTGAACGATATATGGAGTGGGGTTTTCTTCTTCATAAATAAAATAGCTGTCAGTAGTTGGTGGGCCAAATGACATTGTCGGGCAGCGCTAATCAGAAGTACTGATATAACTGTAAATAGCCTCTGCAACAGTAAGGCAGTTTTCTAACAATGATAATGCCCTGGTGTTCCCAATACCGTGGAGCGAGTGCTATGGCCTGAATGGCCGCTCATTTCCATGCGCTTCTCACAAGAACTTCACCACATGTGATGGATAAGCAAATTCCCTAGAGATGGCTGGTCGGCTACAGTGCAGGAAAAATTCAGACAGGAATGGTGCTGGTGTGCATGGCTGGCCAGAAACATCCGTTAAAATACCCGTACAGCGAAAATGAAGTACAGCAGCAATATCTTTGCAGTAGTAGAAAAGATAAAATTATTGCGG